ACACAGGAGGACTTCCTTTATAGCGGGAGGACGTCCCTAAACCACAAAGGACGTCCTTCGGCCTATATTCCCGTCCTTCGTCCCCATGTCCGTCCTTTCTCTTAATTAAATTAATATATTTTTAACTACAATTATATTTTTATTTTTTTAATATAGTCTCGTTTTTTTCGAAGTTATTATGATTAAAAAAAATTTATGGTATTTATTAAATCATTAAATTATAATAAATAATAATAATAATAATTCTATTCGTTTTTAAACATAAATATATGAAAATATATTGTGATTATGTACTTTTATAATTAATTTAACATATTATTAATATACTAAATAATAAAAGAGTAAAATAAATAAATTTGTCATTATTTTTGTGTATATTATTGCCAAATTTGTTTAATAGCAACATAAAAAAAACAAAATTTAATTAAAAAAGTATTTTTCAAAAAATTGGTGAATTTTTGAAAATTTCTCAAGTTTTTATTGAATAAAATAATATGTTTTTATGGGAAAAAGTTAACACTAGCTCCCCGTTTTTTAAAACAAAAAATCGGCAAAATATGGAAAATTGATTACAGACTTCAAAACAACAGTTTATAATAAATTTAAATAACAATAAGTTATTATTTTTAACATGAAAATATTTTACATTTTTATTGTGATTATAAACTATTATCATAAATTTTATATATAATTTATTAACTATATATTATAAAATTTATTAAAACTAATTTGTCACTATTTAATTGTTTTTTGTTAAACTTGTTTAATGGCAACATATAAATAAACAATATTTAATTAAAAGAGAAATATTATTAAAAAACAAATATTAACTTTGCTTTTAGTCATATTGATAGTTAAAATACAGTTAACAGAAAAAGGGGGATGCTCATCTTAATATTAATTAATTTAATATTATTAATAATAAATAATTAATATAAATTTTTTCGGTTTTTCCATTTTTTTAATTTTTTGATTAATAATTTATATTAAAATTAATAGTAATTTTATTATTTTTCAATTGAAATTAACCAATAGTTACGAGCATCCTCCTTTCTCTAGCATCCCCTTATTTCCTCCTACTGTAATTATTTGGCAATTATAACAATATCTATGTATTTTTCCGCTTTTTTACTTCAACAGATAAAAAAATACATATAAAATATTGTGGTTTTAAGTTCAATTACATATTTTAAATACTCTTGTTTAAATTAAAAACATTTTATGTAAGTTTGTATAATTATATTTTTGATTAGAAAAAAATCATTATGTATGAGGTAATAATCATTTTAAATGAGATTTATATAAAATTAAATATAAAAACAAAAAAACTCTATTAACATACATGGAAAACGAGTTAACAGCACTCTCAGCACTCTGCACAAACGCAGCAAAGGCGGTGTCAGACCTCAACAGAACTAAAAAAGAAGACAACTTTGTTGACGACAAGTCACTTGACATTGATCAACGCATTGAAAATGCAGAGGGACACTTCGACAGACTTGATGCTATATTTGATAAAAAGAAAAACATTACAACATCACTCAACACCATTGTCACTGGTTTGGATAACACATCTAACAAAATCAAAAGTGAAATGGCTTCTTATTCAACAAAGAGCGACAACGAGAAGTTCTTTGAGATATACAATCTCAGAATTGCACTTTATGAGGAAAAGTGCAAAATGGACATTAAACTATTCGAAGACAAATCGACAAAATCATTCAAACAAAAAATACTAAAATCGATCAAATCATGAAATCAGATAAATTCATTACTTCAAAAAGACAACACGATGAAGAAGAAAGAGAATTTGGTCTTGAGAAATAACGGGAATGAAGATTGGGGAGTGTGTGTTCGATTCAGACCAAGACGACTGGTCACT